ATTTTATTTTCTTTTGTTTCTGAGTAAAATTCATTCATATATATATATATATATATATATATATATATATATATATATATATATATATCTCATATTTTTTTATCCATGCATCCTCTAAAAGGCATCTAGGTTGGCTCCAGAGTTTAGCTATTTTGAATTGTGCTGCTATAAACATCAATATGGCTGTGTCCTTATAGTGTGCCGATTTTAAGTCCTTTGGTTTTAAACCGAGGTCAAATGGTGGTTCCATTCTCAGATTTCCAAGGAATCTCCATATTGCTTTCCATATTGGCTGCACTAATTTGCAGTCCCACCAGCAGTGTATGAGTGTACCTTTTCCACATATCTTCACCAACACTTGTTGTTTGTCTTCATAATAGCTGCCATAATAAAAGTTTTATTACAGTAAATTTACACACACACACACAACAAACAAACAAACAAACAAACAAACAAACAAAAAAACTTGGGTTTTGCTTTGGTGTCTCTGGACAAGACCATGTGGAGTAAGAACCTACAAATAGGATGCAATCCTACTGCCAGTTAAGAACTAGGAATTGGTCCATGGGCAGGCCTCTAGAATCACCCACAGCATCTCCCATAAACTTGAGGAGCAAAGGGGGTGTGAGGCCTAGAGATGTCAGAGAAGCCTCACTGTTTCCTCCCTCCCTCTTGATAGTGATTTCTGGGCCAATAAACTTTCCTCTACTTTGACTATATTTTATGTATTATATAAAATCCTCTCTTGCTTTTTTTAATTTTTAATTTTAAAAATAGTTTTTAGTTGGACGGGATACCTTTATTTTATATATTTCTTTTTAATGTGGTGCTGAGGATCGAATCCAGTGCCTCACAGGTGCTAGGCAGGTGCTCTGTAACTGAGCCACAACCCCAGTCCCTTCTTTTTAATTTCAATATTTTTGTGGGCATTCCTGAATTCTGGTGATTTATGAACCATCTCCCTTGAGGTGCAGTGTAACTTTCTTCTTGGCATCCCAGTATTTCTGTCCTAACCAACCATGTTCCACAGTTCTTTATTGACTTCAAGTGTTGCTAGAGGAATGATTAAATGATCATTTAGTTATCAAAGTGAATAGGGCAGTTTTTCCAGGATGGAAGTCTTAAGAGAATGCTCATTATTAGATTTCTATTTTTACTTATGTATTTAGCCATTGACTAATATTGTTTTTGCAGTGATCCACAAATGTGGTCCAAAACCCAGCAGATTTCAGAAACTTTTTATGTTGACAGCTATTTTCAAATGGTTGCATTCTGATTGAGGCACATTCCATTGAGGGTAAACATTAAGATGGTTTTAAAGTGCACATTAATTTTCCTGGCTAGAATATTGCAGAGGGTTTTGCCAGTTTTTTCACCACTTTGTTTATCTCATTGGTGTTGAAAAACCTCCCAGATGCAAGGATTGCACCCTAGAGGCAAGCTCCTGCAGCTGGCCACACACAGACCCCCCCACCCACGGATCCAATTCTCCATCCCTCATTAATTGGGTGTCAGGTTCTGCTGTATTGTTAATTATTGGGTAAAACCCAGTGTCTTGCCCCCAAGTAGCCCAAGGTCTAGCTTGTTGGTTATTGGAACCACTGGGTTGGTTATTCACTTTTCCTTGCCTCTCAAGACAAATCTGGGCTCCATCCTGGGACCTATATCTAGTGGCACTGGTAGCTTAGGGAAATTTATCATTTTGGTTAAGAAAATTAACAGCAAGGATAATTTCCCTTATGGAAGAAGGAGGGGTTCTGGCTCCAAGGTGTCCCTGGCTCTTTAACTCTTCTCACCCACATAATCTCCTCTTGGGCAAGACAACCATGTATTGCTCATCCCTGGAATCCTGGTCATGCAACTTTACATTCTCCTTCAAGAGAAATGTTCCCATTTCATAAATGCAGCAAAACTTGTCCCCCAAATACCTGGGATGCTGTTACTGAGAAGGAAAAGTAAAAAATACTGAAATGGGGGCTGGGGCTGGGGCTCAGCCATAGAGTGCATGCCTAGCAAGTGCGAGGCACTGGGTTCCATCCTCAGCACCACAGAAAAATAAATGGATACAATAAAAGTATTGGGTCTGACTCCATCTGGAAAAAAATATTTTATAAATTACTGAAAAGGCAACGTATCTAGCAATTACAGAAATGCAAATTAAAACTCCCCTGAGCTTATCTTTCACTGCAGTCATAATGGCAATTATCAAAAATAGAGTAACAATAAATAGGTGAAGATTTGGGGGACAGGGAATGCTCACACCTTGTTGGAGAAACTGCACATTGGTGCAACCCCTCTGGAATGCAGGATGGAGAACCCTCAAGAAACTAGGACTGGACCCACCATCTGACTCAGTTATCCAACTCCTCAACATAAATCAGAGGATATAATCCAGCATACTACAGGGACAGAGCCACATCAATGTTTATGATAGCACACTTCACACTAGATAAGCTATGGAACCAGTCTAAATGCCCATCAACAGATGAATAGATAAAGAAATTGTGGTATTGAAAGGGTAAACTTTCTAAGCTGCAAAGCCTGAGTTAAAATGTAAAGGACTAGGTATTGTAAAGTTTCTAAACTGCCCTCAAAACCTGAAATTCCTGTAGCTGTTAAAACAATTCCCGGGACTCCCCAGTAGATATTCCCCCTGACTATTTAGTTGTTAAATAAGCTAGGACCCTGTGCAGTTTGGCACGTAGGCACTCAGGGCCCAAACCAATCAGTTTGAATATATCCCCTCCTTAGGAGTGACCAATCACCCCCTGCCCGAACTGTTCCCACCAATGAATGTGCTAATCATGTTTGAGAATTGTTGTTTGATTTTCCCGTGGTGTATGATGATTTGTTATAGGAGACTGTGATGTATATAAAGTCCCTGCCTTCCCCCAAAAGTGTACTTAAGCACTGCTCAACCCCTGCTTGGGGCTCTTGGCTGCTCTCCCTTCTTGAGTGAGCCTGGAGCCCCAGCGCGCTGGATTGGATCCTCAATAAATCCCCTTTTGCTGATTGCGTGAGCCAGGCTCTTGGTGGTCTCTTCCTCCGTCGCTCGCCGGTGTCCCTTACAGTATGTATACAAGGTGGAATATTACTCAACTTTAAAAAAAGGACAACTTCATATCATTAGCCAGTAAATGAATGGACTGGAGATTACTGTGCTAAAGTAAAATAAGGCAATCCCCCCAAACCAAAGGTCACATGTTTTCCTGGACATGTGGAATCTACATCACAAGGAAGTTGGGGGGGGGGGCAAGAAGAGAAGTTCAGTAGATTAGACAAAGGGAAGAAACAGGAAGGGAGGTGAGATAAGAACAGGAAAGACAGTAGCATCAATCAACCATAATGTTTCTTTTTAAATATATGAAAATACCTAAGTGAATCCAGCCAATCATGCCCACCCACAAGAATGGGGTCCTAAGGAAAATAAGGTATATTTTATGTTTGGATAATTTTTACCAAGATGGATTCTATGGTCATGTATATCTAAGAAGAACCAATAAAACAGAAAAAGATAAAACATAGTGAGAAGGACCATGGGACCAAATTGATAGCATCATAGCCAGATGAGGAATTGTCTTTAGGTACATTCCAGAATTTTCTAAACCGCTCCCCCATTGGATGCTGCCAAAGGTGTTGGAGTCTGTGGGAAGGTGGAGGTTCAGGGCGCTGCATGGAGAAGAAAGGACCCCCCCACATTCATCTGCAGTTGCAGGGGTCCCAAGGGGCAGGTAATCTCCAGTCCTCCTTGGTTAACAAAGGCAGAGAGGAGCCAGGTGCATTCCAGTCTATGGAGTTATTTACCAAATTAGGAAAACCTGGAATTGGCTTTCCTGGACTCCCAATCAAATGCAAATTGTTTTTCCTTAAAGAGAGAGACCATTGAGCCCCTCTTAATGAGAAGTATTCTCTGTATTATGTGACTTTTGCACCACTGAATTGGGGGGACAAGACCAGAGCTCTCTTTGGAAACTCATTGACTTTGTTTGCATCAAGACAAGCAGGTAGGGTCTGTCCTTTTTCTATTTCTTTTTTCTTGTGAAGTGCAGAGTATTCAGCTGATACTAAGGATGCACAACTGGGCAGGGTGTCTCTGGTTTTTGGAGGAGGCAGGTTCCCATTGCCTGGAATCCATGCAACTGCCTGGAACCAGGGAGAGCACCCAGGGTGGCCTTGATCTGTGCAAGGCTGTCATCCTGTGGCCACCGCAGGTATTTCTCTCAAAAAGAAAGAAAGGAAAAAAAAGTGTTCCATGCCTGTCATTCTAGCGTCTGGGGAGCCTGAGGCAGGAGGATGGCGAATTCAAAGCCAGCCTCAGCAAAAGCAAGGTGCTAAACAACTCTGTGAGACCCTGTCTCTTAATAAAATTCAAAATAGGGCTGGGCAAGGGGCTCAGAGGTCGAGTCCTCTGAATTCAACCCCCAGTGCGCCAGAGAGTGAGGGAGCCTCTGGTTTACAAAGGTCTGCACTCTCTGGGTCTCTTCTATGCTGATCTCCAGCTTCAACTTGGTCTCCAGATACATATTCAACTCAGCTGGAGGAAAATCAGCTCTAATGCTGCCAACCTGGTGGGAGCCTCCTTCAGGTCACCTGCCAGGCGCCCTGTGAGCCTCCACTAGCGTGGGCCATGAGGCACTGGGCAGTTCCCAAGGGGCGAAAGGTCAGTTCTGCTTGGAGAATTTTGCACAGATAAACAGAGGACAAGTCAGCACCCCGAAGACGCTCTGGGTGGTCTTATTATAGGAGGAGGCCCAGGTGGTGAAACTTTCAAGGAATGATTTCAATTTCCTAATATCAAAACCCAACGAAACTTAGAATTCTGGTCACCCTAACCCTAACCCAATGCCCAGACCTCAAAAGGAAAAGAAAAAAGAAAAAAGCCCTGCCATTCTGGTTTCCTCCTTGCCTGGAGCTGATATCAACCCCCTGTCACTCAGAAAGAAGGCTAGCTGGGCTCAGACTGGGGAGAGCGGAGACTGACGGACGTCCTGTCCAATCAGAAGCCCCCGTGCTGAGCGCTGTCCAATCCTGAGCGTAGCCAACGAGCAGGGGGCGGGCCTCCGCGCTGGGAGTGGGATTTATATCTCTGCGGTCCGCGGTTCCACTCAGATTCCTGCAGCTGGACTCCAGGCTTCGCTAGTGCCCAGGATCCCGCGTGGCCCTGCCATGCAGGGGCTGAAGCTCTCCACGGCAGGCTTGGCTCTTGGGCACCAGGAAATGGTGAGTGTGGAGTGGCGCTTGGTGCCTGGACAGGGAGGCTTGGGAGGGAGGCGGGGCAGGGAGGCGGTCCCACGGGTTCTGCTGTAGCAGGAGCCCCAGTTGGCCGACCTGGACTTCGGGCGCTCTCTGAATCCACAGGCCTGAGCCCATTGGGGACAGCGCCCCTCAGTCCCCCTGGCCAGCGGGTGGAGAGTGTGACAGTGGCGGAGACCCCTCACAGCCTCCCCATCCCCTGGGGCAGCCTCAGCCCCTGCTCCAGTCCTATCTATCTGGCAGGTGAGCGCGGCTGCCAGACATCTTCCTGGGCTGTGGTGATTGTCAGGTGGGACCAGGAGAAGAATCCAATTCCAAGCCAGGTGATGGCTCACACCTGTCATCCCAGTGCCTGGGGTGGGGGCTGATGCCGGAAGATTGCGAGGTCAAGGCCAGCCTCAGCAAGTAGGTGAGGCAATTAGAGACTCAGGGAGACCCTGCTTCTAAATAAAATGCAAAATAGGGCTGGGGATAGGGCTCAGTGGTCAAGTGCCCCTAAGTTCAATGCCAGGTACCAAAAGAAAAAAAAAAAAAATCTCCAAACACCGTTTTCCTGCAGGAGGGGAGCTGCGGTGTACAGGGACCTCGCTTATTCCTGAGCTAGTTTTGTGGAGTTTATTTGTTTTTGTTTGTTTGTTTGTTATGTTTTGTAGTTAACAGAAGGGTGCTTTACCACTCAGCTCTGACCCTGGTAGTTTTTAGTTTTTATTCTGACTATTGGTCTAGCTAAGTTGCTGAGATTTGCCTGGTTAGGGTTTGACTGATAATGACTTTTCCATTGCAATTAAGTGTATGATTTTTACACACTCATGTATTCGTGGATGGACTTTGTTGACATCGTGATTCCTTCATGACAATTGTAACAGTACAGCTTCTCAATGCACGTGTTAGGTAATGACTTTGTTTTTTCTCTTATAATTCAAAAGTTTCTTGGTTAAGTTTACATATACGAAAATTTGTGGATGAATTTTAGGACTGGATGCTTCTATTAAGAGTAAAGCATGCTGGATTGTTTGTTAGTGCATCATAGTTATACATAATACCACATGCATATGGCACCCGTGTAAAACTTACCCATGGTATTTTATACTATTTTTAAGCTGAATGTACCATGACTATTAATGTATTATCCTGGTCCTATGAACTGATTGCAGCAAGTTCCTGGAGTGGGGGTCTATCATGTGTCTTTAATGGCAAAACAGTTTCCAAAAATAGTTAAGAAGCACTTAAACTTTTTGAGTTTATTAGAATTCTTTTGTTTCCTATCATCATTGATACTGTTTAATTTTCTCTCTGATAGGGTTTTATTTTACATTTCTTGGGTTTCTAAAGATGTTGGATTCTTTTTATTCTCATTATTGAACACATGGGTACTTCCTGTACAAATTGGCAGCTCAAGACTCCTCCCTGAATTTCTTCTGTGGTGGATTTCAGAGTGTTGGGACCTTGAGAATCACCACTCCATGGGCCCTTTTCCTACCCAAGCGGGCTGGGAACTGCAGGGGTCTCAGGTTTTTCACCCCCCTGAGGTTTTCTTTCTTTTGGGGGGACATGGGGAGCATAGTGGATTGAACACAGAGGTCCTTTCCCACAGAGCTACATCCCTCATACTTTTTATCATTTATCTCCTGACAGATGCTGAGATGCTGAGTCTGGCCTTGAACTTATACCTCAGCCTCCTGACTGGCTAGGATTATAGTTGTGTGCCCTCCTGCCTGGGGCCCCCTTAATGTTTTAAATGTAAGGGAAGCAAAATGTCAGATCCACAACCCTGTCTCCCAGATGAAACCTGTACACATGTATCAATGAATTCCTCAAATTCCATTCCCCTGTCCCCATTTGCAGTGACAGTTTTTCCTCCCCACTGTAATAAAATAAGAAGCAATGGTTTAGTTTTCTGTTTACGAGCATTTAACATGAGAGAAAAGTACACCAAAAAGCACTTGACATTTGAAAAAAATGTGTGTGTGTGTGTGTGTGTGTGTGTGTGTGTGTGTGTTGGGGTATGTGTATTCTCCCTTTTTCTCCCAGGCCAGACACCTTGTCAGGATGTCTTTAGGCTGAGTGTCCCCCCTGTGGACTGCAAGTCCCAGGGGTCTTATGCTCTCTGTGATATTTTCCTTGTCCTGTTTTGGCTTTGCCTGACATGAGGATCCCACACCTGGCACATCTGAGGTCTCTTGAGCATCTGGTAAATATCAGCCACCTGTTCACTTATAAGCAGGTGCATTTAGGGGAAGTAGTTTCTCAGGGGAGCAGGTGATGGCCCTGTGGCTGGAAGGAGTCTCCTTATCCAGAAGCCACTTCAGAATTTCCCTCATCCTGGCTCCTGTGGATACTTGAACAGTGATGGGCATGCAGCCATTTATTAACACACTGGTTCAAGTTCCTTTGGAAATGCGTCCAGAGTGGTTGTTACTCTGTTAGCTTTTAACGAACTCCATGCTATTTTTAAAAATTGTCTGCACTAAGCTTATATTCTAGCGCCATGTCAGCATGTCTCTTGCTCCATATCTATGTCATTGGAGGACTAGTTCCTTCACCTGTTTGATAGGAGGCTTTCCCACAGCTGTGCTCAGGCTGCAGAAACTCTCTGACTTGGCTGGGGGCTGAATTCCTGATGCAGTTGGTTAGAACCCAGGCTGCCTGTGCTCACTGCAAGAAGGTGGTGTGAGCCTATTCTAGAAAGAAACAGGGAGCTGTGGTTTTTATCCTTTTTCTTCACTCCTGTGGGACGGGGGGGAATCGTAGTCCATGGAAGTGCTTGCAGCCAATGTGAAGCCCCTCCTTTGTGATCCAGGGAGATTTGCACATGCACAGTTGCCATTGCTCCCAAAGCTTGGTGGGTTAGGATGGAGTCCATGGAATGGGGAAAAATGTTGGGACCCTGAGTGCCTGGACATACTCCTTCCAGAAAAAAACTGGTCAGGCATGGAGTTATTACTGAGGTAGAGGGGAGAGGGCTCAGCCAGGGCTGCTGGGTGGACTGCATTTGTCCTGTCTACCCTTAGAGACTGGCTAGAGAGGAGTACAACTGTTAGCAACAACAGTTTGCAGATCATGCTGGCAAATTCCTTCTAGGGATAAATTGGGACCCTTGACCTCACTCCCCTTCTGCCCTGGTCCCATGGATAAAGCTCATGACCCACCACAGCCATAGAAAACCACCCATTTGTCTTGTCCTGGTACTTGTGTATATCTAGCTCTTTCCTCTATGAGCCACCAGACTAATTGCGTTTCCAGCTACAAGTCATTTAGTGTCCAATGTGTTCCATTTGTGACCCCAATCATTCTACCTCTACTCTGGGTGACACTGGATTGGGCTATTCTGTCCCAATTATGTGGCACATTGCTCAAGGCAGGACTAATGCCCAAGTGTACCCCAACTTTGCCTGCCCTTTGGATGATAGAGATTTTCTCAGTGGGCCAATGCATATGTCTCTCAATCCATGTATAACTTTATTTAAGAGGAACTCCAAACAGAAGTAGGTGTTTATTTGGTGTATCCATGTGTGGAGAGAATCCAGGAGCCTCCTATTCTGGTATAATTTTGAAAAATCATCCTCCTCAATATGTGCTTCTTTGGGGTGCTGGAGTATAATTCAGTACCATGCACCTCCTGCACCCAAGCCCTACAAGTGCTCTGCGCCTCCAGTTCCCACACCTCCCTTCATGCTGGATTGTCTTGTTCATTCACATCAAATACTCTGCTGGAGATGGTTGCATATACACAGGCCTTTTCATTGCATTTCATAATATTATGTACATACGGAGTCACCTATGAAATTTCTGCATTGTGATTTTTTTTGGTGCTCAAATTACTGCAATATGATAATTTTTAAATATATATTAGTGCCTGGTAATGATAGCTCCTGATTTTGCTCTTAGAGTTCAGAATTCTTGGCTAATTTCATATCAAGTTAACCTTCCAGGAGAATTTGCAAACTATTTGCCTTGGTCCCTCCTTCAATGAAAAGGAAATCATGGTGAAATTTTGATGGGGTGTTGTCATAGATGAACCTGAGGGAAGCAGTCCTCTGTATAATGAGGAGTCCTATCATTTATTCCCTGGGTGTTTAATTCAGTCTTTTATGTGCTGATCTGTATTTGCATTTTTTTCAATTCTGAACATGTACTTTGTAAGTATGAGTATGTGTTAAATACAACATTTATGTGACATGTATATAAAACTGACATGGGGTTTCATAGTATTTGTCAAACTGTATGCCAAATGGAAAACAAAATGTGGCTGATTGCCAGAAATGGTTATTTTCCATAGTTTATTATTTATCTATTCCCAAATGGACATCCTCTGTCACCAGGCCCCAGATCTTGGCTCTGGAGGAGCACGCTGTGTCCCCATATGAACAGGTGCTGTAGTGTTCACATCTGTTTCTGGGGGCCACGGATGCTCCTTAGCAAACAGCTTCACAAATGAATAGTGGGGGGCTCAGACTTCATCTTCCCTTCATGATAATACCACATGTTCTTCAACGCTGTCTCAATTTGTGTGTACCATGTGACTTTATTGTACAGTCCTTCCTTTCTAAAGATGTTGAATGCTTTGTGATGATGGGGCATTTAGATACCTGCTATTTGCAGGGGCTGTTCAGGGCTCTTACCTGCATTTCTCTCACAGTCTCTGTTCTCCTTTCTTTGAAGAGTTTGGTTAAAGGTGAGGCAATTGGTTTCTTTCATCTCTCACTTCTCCTTGCACCTTTAATGGAGTCATTTGAGGAATAGAATTTTTGTTTTCATACATACAATTTATAAATTTAAAAATATTTTTTTCTATAACTTTGAAAAAAAACTGACATTTTGTTCCTTTTTCCTTTAGTGAAATGGGGGGGGGGTGGAACCTGGGTGTTCTATTACTGAACTATATCCTCAGCCCTTATTAAATTTTTATTTAAATACACGACAACAGTGGAATGCATTATAATCCTTATTACCCATAGAGCTCAATT